AAATAAAAAAAATTTTGATCCAATTTAATAAATTAGATCATGAGTTATTAGCAAATAAAAATTTACTTAAAAAATACGAATTTTTAGGTGGTCAGATACTTTTAGCAGGGAAGTGTACATTTATCATCGCGTAAAAAAAATTAAAAATTTCATCCTTATAATCACATAATATAAATTTTAAGCCAATAAAAACAAACTAGCTCTATGCTTTATTGAAATTTACAACTATTTTAGGAGATTTTTCTATTAGCATGAAACTGGCCCAATTTATGTCCTCGGACTTTGAAATATATTATAAATCATTTAAATCACATGATATGTGGTCTTGATTTTATTAGAGAGCTAATTATCCTATTACAACTATTAGAACAATTATTTTTTTAAAACCAACAATCTTTACAACATTACAAACCTTGCAAACATTACAGCAATTATAAAATTATACCAATTACAGCAAGTTGAAAAATTACAATCCTTTTTGTAATTACGAACAACCTTTCAACTTTGTAAACTAAACTGTTGGTTGACATCAATCATTCTCACCGAAAAACTAGATAGAAAAATAACTATAAACTTCATAAACTTTTTATTTTAATTCATTTATAATATAATTTACCTTTGCCATTTCTTCGAGATCTGAACTAAGACTTTCTTGATCAATTCTTCTTTGATCATCATTAAGTAAAGTCGTAAAATGTAAATCATTCATAACGGTTTCAAACTCACTGGTAAGCGATTCAAACTTTACTTTGACTGAATTAGCGTGAAAATATTTTTGAAATTCAGAAAGTGTGGATATATTGTCTATAAACTGTTTTATGTTTTTCATGACTTCGATAAAACGACGGAAAGCCATAAAATATTCTACATCTCGAAAATTTTTTTCATTTTCTTTTTTTCTTCTTTGTAAATTTCTAATTGACAATTCAGCTATATTTACACGATCCATAAGAGAATTGCAAATTTTTTTATTAAAATTAACATCTGCATAGATATTATTTATTTCTGAAATAATAATGGTTACAGTAGAAAATAAAGGTAGATAAGGTTGAACAGCGTCTCCAACAACTCCTAAAGAATTCTTTGCTGATTCTGAAATACTAGCTTCTTTTTCATTATCAGCATCGTCTAATGAAGATGCTTGATCATTTGATACGGTATCACTGCGCATATCTATATCCATTGGAATATTTTCATCGCTTTTATTTTCACTAGAAATAATATATACATTTTCTAATTGAATATTTTCAAGAGAATCACAAATCTTTTCTATTGTAGGTCTCAGATTTGGATCACCTTCCCATGCATTTGAATAAACGCTGATATAATCTATTGGTGTTCCTCTAATATGTTCTTCTCTTTTACCAGAAGTAACATCCTTTAATATATCAAAATATGAAATGCCATTAAACGGAGATTCTCCACTTGATAATTCCCAAAAAAGAACCCCTAGACTATATATATCTGATGTCTTATTTCTCTTATATGTTTTTGTATTTCGTAAATATTCAGGATCCGTATATGCAATCATTCCACCTTCAAGGGAAAAATTTGATTCTAGTTGCTTAGATAATCCTAAATCTGAAATCAATAATTTTCCTTCGTGAACCAAAATATTCTTTGAATGCTATTAAAAAGTTAATTTAGATATATGATTTATATAACTCGTAATTCACATAATTATCATATAGCTACACTTACCAAATCTCTGTGAACAATATTTTTTTGATGAATATGAGATAGACCTCTCGCAATATCTTTAGCCATATTAATTTTTTCATTCCAATCGAGTTTTTCAAAATTATTTCGTAGATAAGTTCGTAAATTACCATCTTCAGCGTATTGTAATACTAGATAATATTTTTCTGTTGAATTATCTAAGTAATATTTTTATTGAAAAATAATCACTTTTGAATAAAGAGCGCGAATTCAACATGTAATTTCTAAATAATAATATTTACCTATGCTGACTCCGTAAAAATTAATAATGTTATCGTGGTGGTTGACTGCATTGATATTTCGTAACTAATAGTTTCAAAAAAAATATTTAATCTCATCTAAAAATATTTAATTAATGAAACCGATGGTTACTTGCCTCATTCATAAATTGTTTATAAAATTCGTCGTCGTTATCGTTATCATTGGGATCGCGCAAACATTTTAATGCGACATATTTTTTTAAAATATTCGAATAAGCCTTCTTTACTTCACCGAACCCTCCCGTTCCAATTAGTATAACGTCTTCAAATGTATTATAATCAAATGTATTAAACCGATTTTCTATGTCACTTTTAAACAAATCTTTATTATCATGGGAGAAAGACATTTCTTAAGCACAATGGGTAATTTACTCAGCCTGATTCCATAATTGTTATTTCAGAATCCTAAAAAGATATTACACAAAAAGCTGTTAAACAGATTTATTTTCATTTAAGCATCGTATTGTTTTTTCCGGTTTCATAAGAGTTTTATTTATTATTTATTGAATGTAGATAAGGAAAACTTATACGCCAAAAGCAAATAAATTTTCTTTGTGATAATGAACTAACGTTTTTATGAAAATAAATGCAATTTCTAACTGTACTGGCCGCTAAATTATATCCTTAAAATTTTGTGCTTTTTCCTAAACTTTTATTGCTAAAAATGGTTTACAATTTATTTGTTATATGCAATTCTAAGGAAACATGTTTTGATTTTACTAATTCGCCTATCAATCGGAGTAAATCGGAATCTGCACTTCCCACATAAAACTCAAAATTTTACAAAATACCAACAAATATTATCAATTAGCAAAATTTTTAGCAAAATCGTCCCACAATTTGCTTAGTAAAATTATTAGAAGTTTGAAAGTTAACTATATTGTTATATTGCCTTGACAGTGCAAAATATTTGTAAAATTACGTAATTTTAAGAATTTTTGTTAAAATTCAAATTATTCAGTAAAAAATTTTTTTTAATTAGGCAGATTAGCAATTAAAAAAATAATATAATATGGCAACGTCAGATCTATAAAGTAAAAATAGATTTTTACTTTAATTCTATATTAGGAATGTATATTTATACTACATATCACAAGCTGAATAAAAATTATCGATTTACTGCTGTTATTTTTTATGTCTAATATTTTTTCAGGAGTTTTTACTTTCTCGATCTTTTCTTTAAATATATGCTAATTGAAAATAAGAATACGTATCTCGCACTAAACTTATTTGTCATGTCATACAGTAAGAAGGTTAATGTAAAGGAAAACAATTCCTACTGTTGATTGTTTACTGCAAAACTAATATTTCCATTACAGCCATTATGACGTCGTACGAACACACACTAGTTCGGTTGACCAGAAGAACTCTAAAATAGGAGTTGAGTACGCTGTACAAAGTTGTTAGAGTCAAGGTCAAGGACTCGATAGTTAAAAATTTTAGGGTTAGGTTAATCACGTGTTAGAACACCTGTACACATTTGTACTTTATTTACTTTATTTTATTTGACTGTACATAACTCATTTGGTTGACCAGACTCGCATCACTTCTATTTCATAAATGTCTTTAAATAAAGATAAAGAGAAACGTAATAATTCACAAGACGAAAAAAATGCTAGTATTTCAAACTTAGAATCAGCAAAATGTGCTTTAGGTTCTCTTGGAGTTGTTGGAGACGCTGTTCAACCTTATCTACCTTTATTTTCTACTGTAACCATTATTATTTCAGAAATAAATAATGTCTATGCAAATGCTAAATATAATAAAAAAATCTGTAATTCCCTTATGGATCGTGTAAATATAGCTGAATTGTCAATTAGAAATTTAGAAAGAAGAAAAAAAGAAAATGAAAAAAATTTTCGGGATGAAGGATATTATCTTGCTTTCCATCGTTTTATTGAAGTCATGAAAAACATAAAACAGTTTATAGGAAATGTATCTACACTTTCTGGATTTAAAAAATATTTCCACGCCAATTCAATCAAAGAAAAGTTTGAATCGCTTACCAGTGAGTTTGAATTCGCTATGAATAATTTACATTTTACAACGACTTTACGTAATGATGATCAAAGAAGAATTGATCAAGAAAGTCTTAGTTCAGATCTTAAAGAAATGGAAGAGGTAAATCATATTATAATGAATAATTAGAGTAAAAAGTTTATGGTTATTTTTAATAAATTTTTTCTATCTAGTTTTTGAGTACTATCGGTGAGAATGTTATTGATTCCAACCAACAAGTTAATACAGTTCTTACAGAAATTAGGATTATCAAAAATCAATTGACAAGTCCCAAACCTAATACTACTCC